GACAAAGAAATGTTCTTCGGTGGGTTTCCCACCTTCACTGGTTGATACGTGACCTCCGGAGACTTGCTCACCCGATCCTGAAGTCGAACTAAAACTGGACGAAGAAGCAAAAACTGGTTGTCCTCCTGATGAAGATCCTCCTACGTAACTAGTTGTTGGTGCAGTTTGAGGTGACTGTATAGTTTGAGGAGATGAAGAACTTGAAGACACGCCAGATGTTGAAGATGATGAAGAAGGAACGGATGCAGTTAAAGGTGGAGTGTAAAATGGTTGATAACCGTTGAAAAATGGATTGGCTAGAGGGTTGAAGTTGAAAGTAAACCATGATGGTATCTGGTTGAAGAAGGATGCGAGGCTTTGGAAGAAGGCATTTGGTGCATTGAAGCTTCCTGGAAAGAACAAGTTTTGAAGGATACCTCTAGTTTCGTCCGTGTTGCTAGCGAACAAGGCGTTCAAAACTGGCTTGATAGAAGCACATTCAGCTTTAACTGTGCAAGAGCATTCAATAAATTCATAAACAACGTTTTGTCGAAGGGCCAACTTCTGAATAGCATTTTTAATTTCGTTCATCGCTGTGTTAAACTTATCGTAAGTGACAAAAGCTGCTTCTGGTTTATTTGATTCCCTGCTCATTTCGTACACTGATCTAAATTCTTCAGTCCCGTCCGGTTGGTTTACTTTCTGGCATTTTTCTGAGTTTGGACAAGAACATTCAGCATATTTCAAAAGATGGTTTTGTCTGTCTCTGATGTTTTTCAAATCAACGAATTGACGAGCGACGACGTTTTTGAAGTATTCGGAGTTGACGTTGTTCAACGGGTTGAAATATAAGTATGGATTGTAGAAATGGTAGAGAGGCCAGAAATCATATCTGGGATGATTTAGTGAGACGTGTAAAGGCGAAGACAAACTCTCAGACGAAACTATGGGTTTAGGTTGTTCGACTTGATGCTGCTCTAGAGGAACTACTTTGACTGCTTCCGGTGCTTGTGGGTTGACGTTAACATCTTTAGAAACGGACTCTTCTGCTGCCACATCTGCGAGTAACATAAATCTATGAGAAGCTTATCCTCAGGTTGTGGAACTTTAAATTATTTTTTATGAACAAAGGACTGGTTATAAAAAGGTGTTTTTTTTTTAATTTTTCCATTCATATTGATAAATTAATAATGGATATACACACTCTATAACACACATTATAACTGTCCATTTGTTACTGTCAGTTTGCATCGTAACCAATCTATAAAACATTATAATCTATATATTAATAGGCAAGCATGTTTCTTTAAAACCTTTTTTCTTAGCTCCTGAGCATCGCAGGGAAAATCTACGCATACTGTTAGAAAGATATTTTCCTATAGATGTGCAGAATCCCTTTCAGAATAAAAATAGGCTCAAATATAAGCGCAAAAAATGAATTTGAAATTTAAAAAATTAACATGGGCTTTATGGGTTGCCGCTGGTGACTAAATAACAACGAAATATAAACAGAAAATCAAAACAAATTTAATAAATTACAATCACGTGTTTTATTTACAATGTGGGGTGAAAATAGAGAAGCATGTACCTTTGACTTACAACTAGACATTCCATCTCCATCTTAAAGTTGTTGCCAGTTGTTAAATTAAATTCGTCGTAGTTGATGTGAGCCACCAAAAGATTGCTCTGATCTAAATGAATCATTTCTGTCGAATAAACAATGCTTTTTACCAAGTAAAACTTTTGGAATGAAGTATTATGAGCTATAACAACTGTATTATGATTCATGCACTTTGTTAGCAAAAAAAATTAGTAGAAAATAGACACACATTCTACTGTGACTGGCTCACACATCTACATGTTTATTAATAACAAAAATTGTGACAGTTGTCCATATAGATGGGATGTCTACTTCGGTATACAATAGTCAATGCGTGTACACTGTACATTATATATTTTATGGTCGAGTTTTCGGCCACTGGACGACCTCTAGTTTTCATAAAAATACGTGATTCCACCTTCTGTTTTCTGTAGTATTCCATTTAATATACAAATGGTTTGCTTGGTTTCTTATCCCAAATAAATTTATTTTCAGATCATTTAAATATTAATTGGGATCACAAGGTAAGTCCGGTTTGTTTATATACCTTGCTTTTACTCTACCAGAATTTATGTTTTTATTTTGATATAACCTTCAGTAACTAATAGTCAATTATACAACTTAATGTCAACTTATACAATAATATTGTTAGTATACAATTTTGTTCACAATGAGATATCATCAGTAAGCTTTACTCATTCATGTTTTATCCTTCATTAGGTTTACTTTTAAGTCATACTTTCAACTAATCGATTTGCAATAACTTTTTTTATTTTTAGGCACAGTTTAAGTAAATCACATACCAGTTTGTTTTTTTTTTTAATTTGTATGTTCAAATTAGGGATATGTATAAAAAAGGAATGTTTACGATTAAGAATCCTTCTAGATGTGCAAGATATTGTTTTTCTTCTGATAGAGTAGTTCCATTACATACCATTGTAATATATCAACGGGATTGTACTTACACGATCCTCTACGTGCAATTTCACTATTAAAAATCAATTTATACAGTGTTTCAGTTTTTTTATCATTAAACCATTAGTGGGTAAGCTGTTAAGCTAAATTACAACAAAGTTAACATTTAATTCTATAAAACGGTACTCACCATTGAATGTTACAACGAATCCACAGAAAAACAAGAAAAGATACAACCTTAACATGTTGTCAATCAGGTGTGAGTGCTCTGATCCTGGTTCCACAGATATCACCTCATTAGTATGGTGACTCTCAAGTCAACAAACCCCTAAAAAGGAACACATCATCTCAAATATATTTTTGGCAATCATTGCTCATTGTTACCAAACACCTGCTTGTTAAATTATATAAATGTGAAGTGTTCCTTCTTTCCAATTTTGGATAAGTTGAAAGTTTTTCCTACTAAACAAAGGATATTATTTAAATACATTTTTTGTAATTAACGTGATTTTATAATAAGTACAAACGCTACCGAAAACAGTGACAGTTCCAACCAAGGCTGTGATTTCGTCGATTTACTTACAGTTTCTGACACTTAGCTTATCAACTTAGTTTATTCCTGTAATCTACCGGCTCACCCGTTGCTTTTCTTTATGTTGAGCCCGTCAATATTTTTATGTGAATATTATTAAAACCATACTTTGCTATTTTGTTTGTCACACAGTGTAGAATATTTAGAACTTAAGAAACAAAACATAAGATAAAGGTTTGCTCGGAAATTGTAAGAGTTTACAATAATTAATGCCAAGTCCATAAGTATGGTCAGTCGGTGGCTCTTCGGTAGCGTGGCGGTCTTCGGGCCCAAAGGCAACCATGTCGTGGGTTCGGATCCTGTTCACTACCACTACTTTTTATCAGTGCAGTTCACCCTTGTTCTGTAACAGACTCACCCCTTGCTCTGCTGGACACGTTCCACGCACAAATCCGTAGTCTATGTGGACTTTAGCAAGGTTAAAAGATGCCGCCAAAAAGTAGACTTCAGGTTATTCTTCCTCAGTAAATTTATTAACTTCCCCAGAACAATATTATCGATATAATACCGGGAGTTGATAGGATTCGTGTAATAAAAGAGCGTATTAATTTCTAGTTTATTTATGTCTACAAGGGAATTCCTACAAGTGTTCTTTGAATCCTCTCAGAGAGATGAGTATGTAAATCGTGACCACTCGGGACGATACAGATGACGTCAATGTATTCTACGTCATCGCTATGACGTCACAACTGCTGCCGGATCTTCCTTTTTGTACATGAGTGATTTAGTGCCTTGAAACTCTGTAATTCAATTCAAGTTAATCGTGCAAATTTAATTGGTCTATTTGTCAGTATCAAATGTAATTGTGATTGATGCTGATGGGGTTTTAGATTTGTGGTGTTTTCTGTTTTCATTTCAAGGAGGCAACATGGAACTTGATTTATGTTTTATCTGTCACGAATGAAAGGTAAAAATTTCGGATTTTAAGGGATTTTTCTCTGTGAAAAGGTAATAATGTACTTAAACAATCCGTGTTTTTTATGAGTTACAAACTAAATACATCGACGAAATACACGTAATTTAAGATTGAACAACAATTTGACTTTACTCGCTTTCAAAACACTAAGCAAGTGGAATGTCAAGAATCATTGTTAAACTTAAGAACATAATTAAATACGAAAACATTTTCGTAATAATATTTTTCTAATCTTTGTCTAGTATTCAGCAGGATTACGATAGTAGTGATGAGTGTTTTAGTGTTGTTCTTAAGGATGTGTTACAGTTTCGAAATAAAATGTTCTCCACCGTTTACATTTTAATATGCTTTTGATCCATTGTAACTAAAGTGGGTTTCTTATCCACTTCATTATGACAATTCCTCTGTATTTACTGCACTCTTTTATACTCAGGGCTGTCCGATGGCTGTTCCAACTACTATGGTGGTACTGATTTTTAAACGGTGTCGTGCTTGCAAACATCAAACATAAGGGTTTTATGGCTAATACTACTTTTTATACTGAATGCTGCAAAATCTCCTACAATTTTAAGGCGAGGTTTTCACGGTCATATCACCAGGGTTTTTACTGCACTGCGTATTCCACTTTCAAGATAGATTAACTTTAAAAGATGTGACACAGTGAATTTAGACAAGCTGAACTATCATTTTTCCATCAATCCCGTGATTCTCAGCAACCGACAATTTATTAACGCCCCCCCCCCCCCATCTATTTACCTTTCCAGCTTAAACACAATACTCAACTAGCTTTTCAAAACACCTTATCATCTTATCATTTCTGATCAGGACTGATGATCATAAAACTATGATAGGTTGCCATCATCTTGAAACTTGCACTTATCCGGACGTCTAATTTGCGGTTTCGCAATCGTGTGCAGCCAATCCGGTTTTCCGGACGGTGAATATCCGGTATCCCGATAATACGGACTGCCTTGACCCCTCGATTAACCGTATCAAGTTCGGCGAACATCGGTGATCCTCGGTCGTCCTCGTCGAGTCTTCGCGTCTCTTGGAGAAGCTGTTGTTACTTGCTGCCTCTTCCGTGCGATGGCAGCTTTTCTTCTGATAGTTCTGCTCGTGAGCTCTGTTTCAGGTAAACACTTTATTATTTCATTTGTGTTATTTATAATTTACTTTCTGCAAGGATGGAAAGAATATTAGAGTTCAAAGTGTTCAAAAGTTTCTTTTCATTTTCAGTAGTTGTGCTTTGTTTAATGCCTGTTCATGTTTTTGTTTATTTAGTTGAATGTGTTACTATAATGGTTCGCGATTTTGTAGTATTGCATTTTAAAACCTTCATGAATACCTATTATACAAGCGTTACTTAATGTCATGTATGGCTTACAGAATGCCAATTTTAAAATGTCAGCATTAATTTTGTAATATTTTAGTAGTTGTTCGACGTTTTTAGGATGAGCTCCAGTGAGAATCACAAACTGTGTGTAATCGTGTCATATTTCAAGAATGAATTAAAATAAATTAAATAATCTTATTTTTAACCTAATATTCTTAGTTTTTCGTCAACGGAACACTTTAATACATCCATAATTTTGCTAGTTTGGTTTAGTATTGAATGAATGTAACACTTTTTTATGTATCCAAAAATGCTCAAATAGAATACCAAAAAACACAAAAAGTCATGAAAATTAAAACATTATTTATGTGAAGAGATTTCATCTTTAACAACAACGTAGTAAACATTTGCAGTCTGCATTGTGTGTTTTCTTGAAACCAAGGAACAAGACAAAAAAGAATTATTCACCCTATCAAATGAAAATTTGTGGTAGGCATACATGCAAAGGACAACGAAGTATCTACATAGAATCTAAATACTCTTCTAATCAGTTATGGTATAAATACATTTTGGTACTGGCGGTCACGTACTTAACTCTTGCCCACCCTCATCAATAATCGAGCTAAAACTTAAAATTTTCTAGTGAAGCCATAAGGGATGAACTCGTACAAGACAAATCAATTGAAACTACAGCACCTAATTTTGCACTAGGTCAGGACACATTTTCACTTCGCCATCCAAGTTTGAATTCCATTCTGCATGCGACCATACATGCAGTTACAGTCGCCTCAATAAAAATGGCGTTTATGTATTAGGGGATTAACATGCCCCGTAAATTAAGAGATTTCCAGTTCGTGCCTAGCCCAGTCTCACGAGTTCAAAGAAACTGTTAGAACTGAATGGTTCCAGACACATAATGGCTCAAGACAGATACATAAAGGGCTCAAAACAAGTCCAACTCTACATCACGTTTCTTATTGTTACGTTGTTGGTGTTGCGGTGTTGAAGGATGAACCCAGAGACCTTGGCTGTCAGTGGCGTGTCAGACCAATCAGCGGATCTTGATCTTATCCGCGATGCCAATTATAAACACTCCCGCCTTCCGCGTGAAAAAACTGAAGAGGGTTTGCCCTAGAGCAACTTTGTGGCCTATACTCACTGACATGTTACGTGTGTCTTGTGTCACATTGAGCTATTTTATTTTTGTGGTAAAAGTTTTCTAACACACGGAAAGTTATTCTAGCCTAAGAACATACAGATTAAGTTGGGATCCGAACCACTGGGTTACGGAATTATCACGATGATAAAACCACGGATTATTTGAGGGGATGTGATTTAGACAGTCTCTCTTGAGTGCAGGGCTGAGTGCCAATCACCTAAAACCTTCGACGAGGGTAATTTTACAGCCCGATGCTTGGTGGTGCGAGTGCCAGCCAGGTAGCCTATCAGTGACCGGTCCCACTGCGCGGTGGGTATGGGGGTGGAAAAATCTACCAGGGGGTAGGATGAGCAAAACTTGTTTTAGGTATCAAATTACATTATTATAACCGAACCAAACCTAACCAAACTTGCTGATTATGAAATAAATTAATGAAGACATATACTTATCTACTAGGTAGACGATTATCACACTTTAACATGTTGATTAATTACAAATACAAGGTGTTCATAAAGGGGTGTCACAAACTTGAGGGGATGATAGTACTAATCAATCTAAACAAAAAGTTTACATAAACATAGGTAATCGAATCTATATTTACAATCGAAATTAGGGTAGCCCAGTTAAGAAACTGCACCTGGTCTTCGTTACATCCTGCCCAATACACCCCCTTCTACTAATACACCTCCTCTAAATCACTCTTACGCTCTGGAGAGTCAAACGGCACTCCGGGCTTACCTAACGATTTTGACAGTTTATGACCCCCACGGCAAAGAACAGAACGGCAGTCGCTCCGTTTCCCGTCTAGCTTTTTGTGGAGGAAGTTTTGAGATAAATAGGAATTCCCTGCTTGCCAAGGAGAGCTGCTTTTCCTAGATAGCCGGACTTCTTTAAAGATAGGCAGCTGCTTAGTATTAATTTAACGACTCTTTGATAAGTCAACCTACAATAAGGATATGTAGCCTAGTGTACAATTTCTAGTTTTAATTATCCTTAAGTTTAACACACATTTACTGGTCTCTTGGACAAAGCCGGAGTTTTTAATTAACATTACTTGTATAGCTTTATAAATAATTGAAGACCTATCACCATTAATATCTGTACGGTCTAAGGTATCTAGAGACAGTTTAGTTTCAACATTGCAAAACGGTCAGGTTCGAACATATTTATGAATGAACAGATATGTTAAATATTCATAATAACGTATTCATTATAAAGTCATGTTGATATGTAATGAATGGGCAAATAGAAGGCTGCTTTTACAATTTTCCTTCAAAACCAACGTTAATTTAACTTCATAACATACACACAAGATTGTGAAATGTGGTGATGTGAACATTATCACCTGATAATATTTATTATTCGATTTGTTTGTAAATATTGTATTTGTTCTTAACTAAAACATGGTTGTAATTTTGAATGAATAAAAGCCATACTTTTGGTTTACTAAGTCTTTCTTACAACAATTTTATTTTATTAACTTCATAGCATGCACACTAATTGTGAACTTAACTTCATAGCACACAAAATTGTGAATTTAACTTCATAACACACAAGATTGTGAGCTTAATTTCACAGGACACAAGATTGTGAACTTTGAACTTAACTACATAGCACATAAGATTGTGAACTCAACTTCATAACACACAAGAATGTGAACTTAACTTCATAACACACAAGAATGTGAACTTAACTTCATAGCTCACAAAATTATGAATTTAACTTCATAACACACAAGATTGTGAATTTAACTTCACAGCACACAAGATTGTGTGCTTAACCTCATAACACACAAGATAGCATGCTTTAAGATTGTGTGCTATAAGACTGTGTGTCACATAAGATTGTGAACTTAACTTCATAGCACACAAGATTGTGAACTTAACTTCATAACACACAAGATTGTGTACTTAACTTCATAACACACAAGATTGTGAATCATCCGGTATGTTAAAACTTTTACATTAATCACTTTAGAATACCACACAATAATAAATTAAAGTCTACACACAAACGTACGTCTGTCGTCTATGCTTATCTACTTTTTTTAAATAGGGAAACGAGTGTAACATCTAAAGTATAAGACTTTACAATCAGCTATTTGAACAAATCTACCAGCTCAAAAATATTATAAAGAGTTTTGGCCACAAATTAAATTTTGCGAGCTAAAGTGCTAAATTTTTGTTGGTGAAAATCAATATCCAGAGTGATAAATTAATTATCCACGATAGTAAAGCCAAGAAAGTGGTGATGAAGCATTGTTTATTCCTTTATCCTGAAGATGATCGTATTTTCCTAATTGCAATTGCATCTAATGAAAGAGTCCTTGGAAGCTTGAGATTATACAGATTATTTACCCGTAATCTTTACAACTCCTCGGTTTGGTATAGGCATTATTTTTACTTTATATTATAGTGATGTTTAATTCGTAAAACGCCCAGTAACTATGAAACAGAAACAATGTCATCTAAAATATTTCGGTATGATAAATATACGTACCTGCAATATCAACAGTAATAATTACTTATCAATAATACCTCTTGATTTATCAATGCTTTGAAGTTGAACATAACCACCACTTTGATACAGTGCTTTGAAAACAACCTCACGAAAACAAATAATGTGATAGTTATTTTTAACCAAAAGCCTTCTTTGAAAAAGTGGGGTTTTCTGGTTTTCACGAACTTTCAAAATATAGTTGAATGTGATTTGAACATATTAGTGATGTTCATAACTTAAATTCAATGCAATATCTTAATTTGCATTTTTTACATTTCCAAGATTTACGCGCTCTCAGTAATTGTTAACCTTTTTTAAAATGATATAGGCCATGCCTTTAATTGACGAAAGAACTAGGTAGACCACCTGCACCTTGGTACAAACAATGTAAGCCCGTATCTATCTGATCAATGTTACTCATGAGGGTATGACGTCATGGTCTATTGAATAGGTACTTATCTACTTCCTAGGTAGACGATTATCACACCTCAACATTTTATCATCATGTCTATTAATTACAACTATAGGCTAATACAAACTAGGTTTGCTTTTCGAATTATTAAAGAGTTATTGAAATTCTAAAGGTCATTGATTAAAGAAGGTTTTAGATTTTCATAAAGTTTTTGGAAAAATTGATCCAAAAATATATGTGATCATAATCCTGGTACTCACATCTTTTAACAGTTTCACACACATAAGATCCCATCTATCAGATAGATTTTGTTTGTTAGCGAATTTCCCTATAGGGAAGTAGCTATTACCGTAGGTGGCATGGTAAGACCTAAGCCCGGGAGCGATTTACTTTTTCATTTTGATGTCCCCAGAGGCCAAAAACACCATTCGTTCAAATTTTTATATATGTATATATATATATATATATATATAGATTTATATATATATATGTGTGTCCGTGAACGCGATAACTTGAGTAATTTTTGTCCGATTTTGATGAAATTTGGTTTAAAGGTGTAAAGCGGGATAAACTTGAATGAGTTCGCGAACCAGCATGATCGGACCATGGGAACAGGGCTTTACGGGGTGTTTTATGGGGTAAAAATTGGTTTTTCTCACTTTTGACCCTCTAAACACAAAGTTTCTCAATTTCTCTTTATACCTTTTTAAAGAGCTTAAAAAAACAAATAATTTAGTATATAAAAGTATTTTTGTACGGTTATTGGTAACGGAGAAAACTTTTTTTTGGGGAGCGAGCTTGCGTAGTGGCTAGAGCGCGGGACTTCGGTCCGTGAGGTCCCGGGTTCGATCCCCGCCAAGTCACCAATGGATTTATCTAAGTGATAATGCCGCAACCCCTAGGTCTAGCCTGAAGTAATGTGAAAAACAATCCCAGGCTCGTGCCTAGCGTCCTAGGACAAAAAAAAAAAAAAACGGAGAAAATTTTAAAATATTAAATTAAAAATTCCCATGTTATTCTTATGGAGAATATTGTAAAATGTTGTAGTTTGGTTGTTTTTGGATATATTTTTATCAATCTTGGCAAACTTATTTATTTTGTACTAAGCTATTAATATTTTACTAAAAACACACTTTATTAGTTTCCTTGTAGCAGCAAACCTAGGTACTCATTTAAATATATTTAATTGAAAATCAATTCAGACAAATGGAAATTCGCTTAGTTGTCAGGTTTGCTGCGACAGGGGTATATTGTTTTGTTGTCTATTTGCTTCAGTGAGAGTCAGTTCAATGACACAAAGCTTGTTCAAGGCAGTAAAACACAAGAAACGGTATATATGGCATGTTTTTTTCTAGTTTCACACTTAACTTCTAATTGCCCGCTACTATGATTGGTTAATAATGCTTAAATGAAATAAATAAATGATGTTTTAATGAAGTTTACTCAGTCCAAACGGCCTAACAGAATTTTCATCTATAAAGAAAAAAGTTTCTTTCTTTTCCCAAAGCATAATTGAAAAAAGAGAAGTAAAATTACAAAAAAATGTATAAGTAGGTCTTCTCTATTACTCTACTACACTCATATACATCCATACCCATTATGAAAACAGTCACATGTTTAACTGTGTCTTTCTTTACTAACCTCTTGCTTGCTAGAACCTGGTGCAACAACAAATTGAGGAAACTAAAACTAATTCATTCTCTTTAAAGTACTCAATACCACCAACCGGATAGCCTGTCAGCAAACTACAAAATTTTTTCTTTGGCTTTCCACTCTCATTTTTAGCCACCATTGGGGTTATTTTTAGGTGTTTAAAACAGGAGGTGAGATTGCAGAGTGAGATTTCACATCTTGCATTCATCAGCTGTTATCATTCCTGGAGTGTTCTGTCCTTGTTCCCATAATGACACCATTACCTCCTGGCTGATAACATCTGTGGACATTGACCTCTGCCTGGCTCCTCATATCTTATCACCAACCCCCTACTCTTCACCTCTTAGGTGTGAAAAGTTTTGTTTCAAATTTAAACCTCTCACTTTTTATATTTAATTTGTTAAGTTATGATAACGTAATTGTTATTGATGAAATAGTGTTGATAAACCGGTAATGAATAAGTAAAGAATTAATGAAAAAGGAAATAAATATGAATGAAAGGGTGAGTGTAGAATGGAGTGAGATGATCTGTGTAGCTATCTCACTGTCTAATACCAGTTTTCTTAGCCAGGACAATTTATTAAAGTTCAAATAATGATCATCTATAACTGGGTCTAGTTTCAAACCATTAAAAAGCTACTTACTTTTCTCCAGATCAAACCGGTGTTCTTTTGCAGGCTGCTTTTATTTACCTTGCATTTGTCTGCTTGCAAAATTACATTATCCTCTGGCCTTCCCTAAGAAGATATAAAGCAATGGGGATAAGCCGGTAGAGTAGAAGAATAAACCCCAGTATCAAAATTTGAGTTGTGAAAAAAATCTGGGACATTCCCATTTCAGGTTATTACAGTCTGTACTGCAAATGTGTGTATTCTGTTTTGAGTAAGAGACATTTTGATAAAATGATCATATCCTTATTCACTGTCCAATGTGTAGTTGTGTTGTTGTTCAGGTTTGTATGTGCGCTCTCCCCGATCAGCTGATGGGGGTTTCATGGCGGGGGCCGGGTCTGGAGCATTCTCCTCGGCCTCCAGCTCATCTTCCTCAGGGACCAATGTAGCTCCCGGGCCTGGAGGTATGTCTGCAATCTTTCTGTCAGTGGCGGATCCAGAGGGGGGCGAAGGGGGTGACCGCCCCCCCTCGGGAATACATATACGTATATTTTTTACTGCATGTATAGGCCTACAGTAGTGCATACAAATTGCGTAAAATAATTTGTCACACTAACTTTGGACAAAGAAATTGTATAAAACTGCCATTTTGGAGACTTAGTTAACACCTATTTTTTGGGGGGTACCCCCGAACCCCCCAGACCCCCAGGTTCGCCCCCCTTGTGACTGTTCTAGATCCGCCACTGCTTTCAGTTCAATTATTTTTGCCAATAGAAAATGTTATTAAATTGTACTTTTGAGTATTTTAATTTTTTTTTAACTAGAAACAATTTAACATTCATAAATTATTTGGATTTTGTGATTTAGTTTTACTGTGTAGACAAGTACACCATTATATATCATACAAACAGAAACACACACACATTCTCCCATTTGTTAGTCACCAAAAATATAATTTTCCTATTTTCAGGATATGGTAACTTCAACGCCTTCTCCAGCTCCAGCAACATGGCCCCTCCTCAGTCGCTCTACAGGGGGGGTGTGGCTGCTGGAGCTAGCTCTGGAACTCCCCAGGGTCAGCCCCCGTACTCCGGGTTCTCAGGAGCCGGCGGGTTCCCTGGGTTCCCAGGTTATAGCCCGTTTGTTCCTCAGTACGGTCAGCAATACCCTTGGACGCCCTTCCCTAACTTCGGAGCTCCTTTTGACTTCATGAACTTCCTCAACCAATACTTCCAAGCTCTGCAAAGCTTCCAGGCTCAAGCTGAAGCTCAAGCTCAGCAGGCTGCTGCTAAGTAAGTGATTTCATAGATTAGTAAACGTGTTTTTCCTGTGTTGGTGTTGTTGTATAAAATTGTTTTAGTTTTTATAATAACTGCAAAATGTTTAGCAGTAAAATAATCGTCCTGTAATCCAGCTACTAGGAGGTCACGAATTGCGGATATTTAGTTATGCACTATGGATGCGATACTCCCTGGTGTGGATTAAAGTCCGCACGGGTGAGTACTATGACTAACCGCAGTACTATCCTGATAATTAGACCAATTCGTTAATACTAAGGCAAAATGTGGTTCGGATTCCAATATAAACTGTAGGTCCCTTAGTTGCCATTAGCTGCATGGGCTATTAATTAACAGCTGTGTCTAAGGAATATGTCGGCCTTAGTCCTTAAAATACCTACTTTGTATGGTCACTATTTCATTGAAAAGTATTAAGTATTAAAAGCATACATAACATAGGCAAAAAAGAAAAAAAAAATAGGTGCGATGTTATCTATAGATGTGTATTGTTTGCTGTACTGGTCAAGAGAGTTTTAGTTGAGTGCTGTATTACCACCTAAAATTCTCTTATTCCAATATAATGCTTCATAGCAAAATCTTGAACACTTAATAACGTTAGTAGGTGTACAGAGCAGTGACAAAAATTAGTACCTAGACCAAGAAAAGCACAAAACCGGGGTTTGTAGTCATGACGTGTTTCTTATTATTTTTTTTTTAACTTCCCAAATGAATCTCGCATTGTAAAAATATACCTTGGGAAATTGAAAGGAGTAGAAAAACTAACAGTCTACCATAATTTCTCAAACTAGAACAGCGTTTTTTATAAAAATAAAAGAGTCGGCTCACTATAGAAATACACTGTTGATCAAAAAACTTCACAACTTTTATGTTTCAATAGCTTCTAACTTTGAGACATTAACAGGTTAAGATTTCAATCTAAAAACTTTTTAATAAGAAAATCAAACATAACCAAGCAAAAATGTTATCTTGAATCACATAGACTGTTTTTCATCCAGAGCTTACCATTGCTTTATGCATTTGTTAACGATTGTAGTTTCTTCCCTAACATCCATATTAATTTTAAGCAATTTTTCTAAAAATATCTGTATTTTGTATTAATTGGATGGCAAGCACTCAGTCGCCCTTTAACCACACCTTCTTCATGCAATGCTAAATAACTGCTTCTAAACTCTAATTTGCACATTTTAGTTTTCAGCTTTTTCATTTTATTTTGCTTCTATTTGCCACTTTACCTAACACTTGCTTTGCTCTTCTTCTTCTCTTCTCACAGCGGACATGGAGTTTACCACAAATTCCCTGGAGGTACAGTCTGGTCCTACTCCTACCCAAGATCACCGCTCTTCGGGTGGGTGAGGTATGTCAAATAGAGGACCTTCCAGAGACCAGTCTCATAGTTAAGATTCTTTAATTCAGATAATATGTATACTGTATACCAATATATGTTCCTTGAAAAATATTGTTGACTAAACAACCTGCTAATTTTTTAACAGTTTCAACGCCAATGGCATTTTAAAAATTAAGAATATTTAAAGCTTTAAGAAAAAGTAATCAAAAACCTCTTACATTTTTGTGGAAATGCCAAGAATGAACTCATCCCTCTCGCACCCAAATCTGGTACCCCCAAACACAAACATGTGATACGCCCAAACACACATAAAGTGATTTTGGTAGTGGTGTTTGAAGAGAATCGGTAAGACAATGTAGTTGTAATCATATCGTAGGAGATAGAGTACCAATGTTGTTAAAAGAATTTAGAGTTTGGGAGTTTGTTACTAGACCGAGCGGTAGCTTTAGTGATAAGATCTTGCCATGTTAAGCCAAACGCTGGTTTTGAACAGGCCGCCTGCACTGCCTCATCACTGGAGTATTCACAACATCACTGTAGTCACCACATCACTGTAGTCACCACTGGTTTGTTGTGACTTATACTGTAACATTACTGTCTTTAGATAACCGTATTACAATTAAATAATTAACCCATGCAAAGGTGAAAGTTATGCATCTGACTCACAAGCTGAAATGAGCCAAAGCTTTTATAGGTTGAAAGGTTCATAAATCTAAACTCGTAACACAAGTAACATTTAACATTTCCGTTGTGTGTTACAGCGGAGGTCTACCTGTGGATACTAACGAGGTAGGAGGAGTGGGAGGACTAGCTACAGCTACTTACGGACCACAGGGAGGCTATGGAAGTGCTAACGTCTTCCCTAAACCTGATGGTGGTTTGGACAATAGGTGAGATTTTATAAATGTAATGCTTATTTTTAACCAGAAAATAAGGTTTTTTACATACTCTTTTACTGCATTTACTGTTTCTGTTTCTTCACTTTACCAAAGCATATTCACCATGTATGGGGAGTACTACCTCTATAGTTTTCTCGTTTTTTTTAGTGAAGTTATAAAGTTATGGTTATGTAAACAATACCAATTTAACGGTTCAAATTTATACATTATTGGTATAGAGTCATACCTCGGAATCCAATATGATGATTTAAGAGTTTTTTTATTTCCAATAAAACTTCTAACAAATCTTGAAATTGTTTGACTTTGTAATTTCTAGGTTCGGAGGGTTCGACGAGACCCCCCAAAACTCGCTGGGTGGGGCCCCAGTGTCCAGTGTCAGTGGGAACTTCAAGCCCCCTGGAGGCTCCAGTTTTGGAGTCTTCACCTCATCATCATCTGGTTCCAGTGACATCAACGGAAAGAAGACCAGCTTCAAACAGTCAAGCATCGGAGTCAACGACAACGGAAAAGTCACCACTTACACAGCGCATGACCCTTGAATATCATTATTTTATATATGAATAAATGTTATTGGAAACAGTTTGTTTGCATTTTTATTCTTTCTGTCTTGTTCTGAGTAATTTTCATATTTCAATGTCAATGATGGTGTATTTTTAAATTATTGTGTTGGAACCTTTACATTGTTGTTTTGGTGGTCTCTAATTTATCTTACTAGAAAGAGAAAAATTATTATTCAAGCAAACCCATAAATCCGATTTTTTTAGGTTTAGTCAATTATAAATGATTTTGAATTCAACCATTAATATTATTCACGATGGTGTTGTCTACAATCCCTATTATACTAACTATTGCTCTCAACACCCAAGCCAACCTGTTTAAAATGTATTAAATTATTGTTCAACAAATAGCTAACCAAGTAAAATTAACTCATCAGATAAAAGTTGTCTTAATGAAGACATTTATTTTGAAATATTTTTTATGTCCAACCTTCATATCATAGAACGCTAGGTTCTAGCCCGGGAGCATTACTTGAGGTTAGGCGTAGAGGTTGCAGCATTATCAGATAGATCGAATATATTGGTGGTTAGCGGGATTTGAACCTAGGGGACCAAAGTTCTGCGCTTTAAACTCTAGACCAGCACATTAGAACCTTATCTAAAAAAATTAAGGACTCTTTAAGTGACAAGGTTGAAGTATCCCTGAGGTTTATATATTTTGTAGTTTTAGGTTAAACTAAACCAACCCTTCTTTGTAGAACAGAGGAGTATACATAGATACATTTTTGTACAGAGAAATGTGTATTCATAACAATCAATGACTTTACAAATATTTAGAACTAACCGTAATACTGCGGTCTCTCAGTTTGAGAAGGGGTTGTTGAGTTTACAACGTAAGTCATAGTGTTGTTGCCCATGTTGTTGGTGATGAGGGTTGTTGCGGTTATGTTACCGTTGTTGTTCACTAGATAGGTGGTGTTTTTGTTTGATGTTGCTGCCTGTAGGTGTTTGGAAGCCTGGCCGTCCATCTCACTTCCATGAACCTCCGTGTGGACGGTAAGTGTTTGCAAGCCACTGTGAAAAAAAATAAATCAAATGCCAGTGGGATTATTGATATAATGTATGAATGTTTTTTAATTAAAACTACAAAATTCATTTGTTGTTGATCTGTTAGCAAAGAAATTAAATTCAAATTGACTACTGGGATTTTAAACAGCAAGTAAAAAGAAAAGGGGATTTAACTTTAATTTAAATGTTTTTTTATCATAAAAAACAGTTAAATATGGCTACAGCAGTAAGTAAAACAATGCGGTAGTTAAACAGTACAGCGTTCGTTCGTATTTGTTTTCGTAATCATCAAAACATTTTCTCTATAGAAAAAAAATTGGTCTGTCTCAGATTATGCATCCTGCTGTTATACATATAAGTTTTAGAGTTAAACAATTTCATTTGATGAAAAATAAACTTACTCTGGAGAGAGAGGGGTCACAACATTGCTGTGAGAAGAAGAAAGTATCTCATAACTCAGTGGTCCAGACTCCTCTGCACAAAAGTAACAAACAGTTCAGACAATACTGCTAAATAAAAATGTCAACAATGAAGTGAACTACCTGCTTCAAATTCGAAAATTGGGGAGATATTTTTTTCATTTTCTGACTTCATTTATTGAGTTTATGTGAAACCTTGCTTGTGTCTCATGTTTGATAACAATGAATGTCTTGTTGACCACTCAATTTCACTGTTAGTTGCTTTTTGTCGATATGCCAGATAATTATGAATAGGTTATTAGTAGATTATTATGGTTTCAATATAGTTTTTAAGTTTTTGTGAAATAACAAGAATAAATAGCCAATTTCTATAATATGCACGAGACATGATAGAAAGAAAAGGACAATACAATTTTCAGTTGATGCACAGGACAAATTTACAAGTTGTGTTTTCAATGCTTCAATGCACACCAAGCAATGCATGAAATGTACAATTGTTATTTAAATGTACTTGCTAGCGTAACTAAAGTAAGTAGCTATGATGGAGGGCCGCTAGATATTCTTTTATCAAAAAATATTGAAACATAAATGTCATTATTAAGTACCGGTATTTATTATAAACATGTCACTGTTAAATGTGGATAGATTAATTTTTTTAAACAGTATGGATCAATATTTCCCTGCTGGCCACAGTAGGCTGTTACTTTTTGTTGGGAAAAATTAATTTTAAAATATGGAATCCAGCATTTGTCTAAAAGTAAACTATGAAAAATTGATCAATCAAAAATGAAATCAATCTAGCTTTATTTTGCATTTAATATGTATTGCAATTATCTTTGTAAATCTTTCATTACGAAAATGTATTCTTCAATTTTATAAGTTACATATAAATAGACAATTAATTTAAATTATAATAATTTAAGTTGAACCTACCTTCTTGTGGAGCACAGAACACAGGAATACATAAAACACTGACAAACAGGGCAAAAATTCTGATCAACATGTTTCTGGTTGGGTGGCAGCTTCACTAACTCTGGTACATTTGGTTCTAATCCATGTTCCGTCTGATTAGATCTTAGGAGACCTTAAGTTGTTTTGTCATCTATTCTCATATTCTTACAGGAAAGATTTATAATCTAACTTGAATCTAATACAGGACATTATTATTATGTCTGATCCATTATTGTTTGTTTGTGTTTGATACATCATATCAAAATATTTTTCTAAAATGTAACATGATAAATGAAATGTTTCTTCAATTTGTGATGATTTGGTGAATAGTTTTCCTGTTTTGGTAGTAGAAATGTTAGAACATTTCAGAGTTGAAAATAACAGTAAAATTGTAATAATTCGAAAGTCAACTTATCAGCTAATTCAGACCAATTTAATTGATTAAACAACGAGTGAGGGGTTGAGATAATGAGTCTTGCATTCCCATCAGTGGCAATGAGAGGTTATGAACAAAAACATAACCTTAGGTATTATCTTTCTTAAGTATAATAAATATAAGCATCTATCTTAAGTATAAGTAGTAGGCCTATTAAGTATTATATTTCTTAAGTATATGCTATAGAAACTAAATGAAAACACCAAAATATATCCAGGCTTGGTTGTATAGTGATGGTCAAAACCAGAAATTTCGAATCTCAAAACCAAAACCGAAACTTTAAAAAATCGAATCCCGAATCTCAAAACCTAAACGCGAAACTTTTTTACTTAGCTGGTTACAAAGGTCAAGGTTACAAAAAATACACATAATCATAAAATGTTAAGTATGCAATCAAAACTGTAAGAGATCGATTTCTGACCGTGACATAATATAAATATGTGAATGTGACTGATAATCTTAAAACAAAACCCAATACAACATAATTGTTCATAAACAACCAACAAAAAAAATAATTAAACTTATAACACCAACATAAACATGAATATTAGATTAATTAGAACATTAGTGGTCAATATTTCTTTGTGTTCAGTAAATAAATATTGATGTGAAACTGAATTGTACCAGTTATAGTATTTAAGATACCTTTTGAAGTTCAGAATCAAATTTACTTGTGTAATTACTGTTAATGGTGATGTTTGCTCTGTTGCTACCAGCTTGTTTGGAAACAGTGTTAAAAACAATTACAATAGCACAAAAAAATGTTAGCATTTTCAAAAATAAAACTGTCAAAATCTTCAATTTCGAAACTTTTGAATCTCGAAACTTGGTGATCGAATCTCGAAACCGAAACTTTTCCTAAGTTTTGATGGTTTTGAGATTTGAGATTCGGTTTTGACGCATCACTAGTTGTAACCTCTTAGTATAAATTTCATTCTAATTTTGCATCCTTGTAAGCATCTATCTTAGGTATAAGTAGTATTAAGTATTATCTTTCTTAAGTAAATGCTATGTAATAGAAACTAAATGAAAACAACAAAATATATCCAGGCTTGGTTTTAACCTCTTAGTATAAATTTCATTCTAATTTTGCATCTCTTGTACCAAAATTAACATTTTGTTGTTGTTGAAATAAATGTACTGAGCCTTTTAAACCTATGAACCTAAATTAACTAACTGGAAGGGTAAAAAGTCAAATCTGTTGTAGTAAAAATTTAATTTTTTAATTTATCTTTTACCAAACAACTAATCTTCTTCCTTGTCCACTTTGTCGTCAATATTGATGGTTGGTTTCCTGGTCGGAGCTACTGCCGAGACGCATGGAGGGGGGTGATGATAGACTGGGGGCTGACACGGCTGACTGGAGGGGTAGTTGTATACGGAAGGGTACGATCTGATCCACGGAGTCCACTGTCCATGTCTGCTGGGAAAGTTGTACGGATGTCCGTTGAAGTGATCATGGTAATCGTGGTGCATTGGATAAACCGGGGCAACACCCGGATTTTGCTTGGAAGGCACCAACTTCACAGGTATTTTATACTTTTTATTTTGAATGTTCTTCTCCAAAATCCAAGTGTCCTCGATATCTTTTTCATCAGCAGCAACTTCTACATCCAAAGATTCTTTGCGGACTGGAACTTTGGTATTAATTCCACCATTGAAAACAATTGTGTGCACTTTTGAATCCTCATCAGTTTTGGGAGCATCAACACCTTTTATCACAGGTACAGCTCTTACTTTGGCAGGTTTTGTTGAGGCTTCTTCGTCATCAACAACCAGTGGAAACTTACAGATGACTCCAGGTTGAGTACAGTCAACTGAGATTGGTTTCTTCTTCCCAGCAAACACAGCTTCATAAGTTGAATAATCATTCAGTGGTGAGCCTATCTCAGGTCTTGGGAAAGCAGACGCAAACGATTCAACATCCTCTACTGGATCGATCTTGGAGACGATCTTGAAACCTCCCACAGACACTGAAACTGGAATTAAGAAAATGTTTTTTCTTTTGTAGAAAATTACATATTTATAGCACACTGTTTACTGATACCTTATTATTACTGTGGATGTTAGAAGAAATTGACTCAAGAGGAGGTTTAAGATGGGCCAGGCTGTGACAATCATGCTCATATCCACAAATACATCCACTCAAATCCCTTCTTCAACCTGTCTAATATTAAAATTGCAATATATCAATTATTGGCGAGACACTAAATCAAGGATTTCATGATAATGAAGCTTGTTGTGTTTGAAGATTCACAATATATGCTTTAAAAGTATTGTTTTTGTTTATACAGGTTGGTAAAAAAATAATTTGTTTCCGATAAGTCATCAAATAATTCAAATTATTTATCCAATTTTTCAATCCTCAATATCACAAAAGTACACATGAGAAAGTGAACAAATCAAAACCAAAATTAATGTCTATGTTGTGTGATTTGGATGCTCTAAAAAGAATACTAGGTGCAATACAATATTTAAATACTTGATTGTTTCTAAAACCACATCCTCACTATGTCAAATGGAATAGATCGGCATTGCCGAGCGGCAAGTTTGGACTCATAGCAGACTTGTGCTCATTGGAAATGCCGCAATCTGATTCCAAACCTACAAGTTGTCGGTCCCGATCAAAAAAAGCCAGTCGGCTGCCATCAATATAGTGGGGTAGTGGCTTTAAACTTTAAAGCCTAATCGTGTCGCTTTCACTTCACACCGCTCAAGTTAAGGGTTTCGCTACTGATTTATTTTGATGTGCTAAATGTGGATAGAGGTTGTATGCAGCAATTAAATTTAATGTTCTGGTTGAAAGCAAAACTATGTTATATTTCTAAAAACTAGGTGGTTTACAAAAACTCCTGATGCGTGAGACTGGTGAGTGGTACAATTGCTGTCCTGAGGGAATGTCCCTCTATAGTCCTGCCTATAGTCCAACAATGAGAGCTAGACTAGAGGGATAGGAATATAACTTTTACTAGTAACAGTATTAACAAAGTAAGAATATATTTTTAATTGTAGGCTACATTGTATTTTATAAAACTGTACTTATTTTTTTTTATTCAAAGTTATTAGGTATCAATAAATTAGACCAAATAAAGGAAAAGCACTTAGCCTGGTACTACAATTGTCCAATACTTCAATTCATCGCCTTTTTTACATGTACTTCATACAGATTTTTGTGGTTTCTTATATTTGGGTAAATGTCAATATATTTTAATTATTTATTTAAACTGGTGAAAGAATTATGAACAAATCCTTATATATAATTCGTGAAGGCGTTTTCTACAAAACACTACTACTCCTTTAATAATGGACAGATTTTTACAAACAATTTGTCAAAATTAAGTATTTTTCGTGTAGACGCCCCTTTTCACCAATTCCTGTAATAAAAGTCCTCGGGCTTGGCCCCAAAGGCCATCAAAATCCCAATGCATTTCTTAAGAAGGAAAGATTTTGTTTACTTAAACAGACAAATAATTTGTATTAATTACAGCAGTTCATAGTAAACACATAATACACACAAGAGCATTCTTTTTCAGAGTGAGTTTGTTTTTAGTTTCGATAACTGGAGTGGAGTGATTGATTCCATTATCTTTGAGTTGACTCTTTTAAGTCATCGGAAATTATGACTGTTATTTGTTTTGAAATAACGCCTGTAATACTTTGCAATTGCTCGAATTCGAGCAACAGGTGCACTGGTGCACTAGTTTTTAAAAATACTTGTGTGAAATAATCCATGGTTGCTGTAGAGGCAACAATGTCTACTACAAAAATGTACAATGTGACAATGTCAATGTGCACTTTATGCATTGTGCAGGTATTTTAACCATTTAGAGACATAAAACAGTGATCAGGCAGCTACATACTCTAAAAAATTGAAAAAAAAACCATCATTCCTTACCTGAGGACAAAACGCAAGCTGCGACTAATACAAGCATGTTGAACACAGTGGCCAAAGTCCAACTGTCCTCAATGTGGAAGGAAGAGGTCAATTTACTACAAAGGATGTCATCGTGGGAGGAAATGAACACCTGCCATTGTCTTGGCTGGTCTAACAAGGCACCTCGCAATCACACATGGGAAACTATGCGACACCTGGCTCGGATAATGCAGGTTTCAATTCCCATTTCAACATTCTGGTAGGGTTTTGAGTTGCTTAGTATGAAAATTAATTGCCCAATAATCAAAGGGATCAACAATTCTTACAAACACTTTAAACTAGAGACTTCCTGAGAGGAAAATGCATTTGAAAATTTGTTTCCCTATTCATCAAGTAGATATATTAGTTTTGTAATGTCCTAAACAAAATATGTCATTAACACTTTGACTATATCCTCTCAGGAAACGTGTTGTTCCCCTAGTTTTCATTTAGTTCTATATAAAGTCAATAATACGATCCTACAAGATAAAACTGGAAGGAAAAAACAGGAATTGTGTGTATACAGTGATTCAACTCTAATATTTTGTCAGAAATACATTTTATTACACAAATATTACAAGAACTATACAAAATGTACAAATCACATAGGAGAAAACACAGCTTCACTGGACAATGGACTTGGATCTCAGAGGATGTTTACATCACTGAAAGTTCCAGTCGAGGAATGAAAGAACATCTGCAACATGCTTGAATATTTTATTTAAATTATGGTATTCAGAAATGTCATTATTTAAATTATTTACCCAACAATTAGTTTTGAGTTTTAAATACATCATTGAGTAAAAACACTTTACAAAACATAAAAAAATTTCAACACCTTGGGCTTAACGTTGCCTGATTGTAACATGGGGTAGCAACACATCAAAGAATAAACCCATTTACAAAAAAACATTTCACCCATGGGTGAAACATGGATATAGTTTGTCATAAAGTTCAGTAAAAAATAATTTTTAATTTTATTCATGGGAAATACGTAACTAAATTTCATTTCCTTTAAACATAAAACTGCCAATTTCTATTAAAACTTTGTTGTAGAGATTTGAAACAAAAAATCATTTTGTATTTTGAAGCGTTATTGTAGTATAGAGTTTGGTTCTTGCAAACGCCGGTGGAAATTTTTAGAGAAGAGAGTTATTCATAAAATGCTTTTAGGGAAAGTGGTCCAAACCCACATGATTTTTGTAAGGAAAATGCAGTTGGTTGGCAGTTGGAGGGTTTAAGCCAAAGTTGCTACAGACCTCACAGATTTAAGCCGGAATCTCTATCTTGCTTCAAATTATTTTGTTAAGATTGACCATGGCAAAATCTAATGTATATTTGTAACACACTCACCACAGCAGTGCTGACTGGTTCATGACCTCCTCATTGTCAACATTGTATTTATTTCAAATATGATCCTCCTGAGGTGATCTATTATTTCCTTCAGATGCCTATTCTTCTGCACTACTTGCTGAAAATTAAATAAGGTGTTATTCAAGGATTACTTGCTGAAAAACCCTTTTAAATTGTTACTTATCTAATGGTAAAGGACTGATAATGGTCATCGCTTAATCAATACGAAATTAGTATTTCCACTACTGTGACGGAAGCCTGAAATTTTAAGTTTGTGTTGAGCTATTATTTATTAGAATCCTATAGTCTAGTGATGGCCAAAACCAGAAATTTTGAATCTCAAAACCGAAACCGAAACTTTAAAACATCGAATCCTGAATCTCGAATCTCAAAACCTAAACACGAAACTTTTTTACTTAGCTGGTTACAAAGGTCAAGGTTACAAAAAATACACATAATCATAAAATGTTAAGTATGCAATCAAAACTGAAAGAGATTGACTCCTCCTGACTGTGCCATAACATATATACAGTATGTGAATGTGACTGATAATCTTAAAACCCAATACAACATAATCTATATCTATAAAAGAGGAACTATGTATGTATATATATGTGTATATACGTTATGGACTCCGAAACCACTCGACAGATTGTAATGAAACTTTCAGGCATTATTAAGCATCTTTCAAGGATGGTTCGAGTGAAGTTTGGTGCAGATCCGTCAAAAGGGCTCTGCCCCAGAGGGTTTTAAGTGGGCCAATGTCAGACTTTTTGATCTAGAATGTTTACAAATAAATATAATTTAAAAGCAGATGTTTACTTTCACCAACTGTTTTGTACGTTTGAATAAATACAACATTCTGTATTAGCATTAGTCATGATTTGAAATAGTGCCACAGTGTTTCTACAGATTGCAGCACAGAAAACTATTTTACTTTTGAATAAATCCAAATGTATTAAACCCCAATCGCAGCACACCTGTGCACTTAACAACGTTTAAATTCTCCAATAAAACATAAAAACCTTTATAAAAGTACTGTATTATAAACAATAAAAGGGATGACTTTTTTAAATGTATGACAACAGCTAATTTGCAACCAAAAGGTGAGTGAGCGTAGCGAACGAACATCAACCTGGAGGCGAGTAAGCGTAGCGAACGAGCTAACCTGAAAACAAGTGAGTGCAGCAAACGATTTCCAACCTGAAGGTGAGTGAGCGTAGCAAACGAACTTCAACCAGGACGTGATTGAGCCATGCGAATACTTATGAAGTTAAGCGGGGCAAAGCCCGCGGGTACAGCTAGTTTTTTATAAACAAAAGAAAATTAAACTTCTAACACCAACATAAACATGAATATTAGATTAATTAGAACATTTAATGGTCAAAATGTCTTTGTGTTTAGTAAATAAATATTGACTAGTTGCTCTGCCCGTGCTTCGCTACGGGGTGAGGATGCAGAAAAGAATCATTTTTGGTTTAACTTTAATATACTATAAGGTACAGTTACAACACCAGGAAACATATAGGCAAAGGCTCAATCGTACCTATTGATTATTTAAATGAATATCTCTCAATGTATTACAGTACCATCATTTTATATAGTGTATATAATTTAAAATATATGCAAAAGTATAACTCATTGACCACATGGCACCAAGAAACAATTCTCCTTGTAAACAAATTAAATTAAATAGCAGAACAGCATTTCTGACAACAGCTGGAGTTTCATAACAATGTTTGTTTCCCATGTTAATCTTATGGAGAAATACAAAACTTTAAAGGGCCCCATGGCCTCACTCTCTAATTATTTCCCTATAAAAAAAGTTTCCTGCACAACTTCACGTTACGCTCTTTCCAATGACACCAAAAACATGTCATTTGGTTCTGTAGTTTCGGAGGAGTAATTGTCACAAAAAATCTGCTTGCGTATTAAATAAGTAAATATAGATGTGAAACTGAATTGTACCAGTTATAGATTTTAAGATACCTTTTGAAGTTCAGAATAAAATTTACTTGTTTCATTACTGTTAATGGTGATGTTTGCTCTGTTGCTACCAGCTTGTTTGGAAACAGTGTTAAAAACAATAACAATGGCACAAAAAATGTCAGCAGTTTCAAAAATAAAACTGCCAAAATCTTTAATTTTGAAACTTTTGAATCTCGAAACTTGGTGATCGAATCTCGTAACAGAAACTTTTCCCAAGTTTTGATGGTTTTGAGATTTGAGATTCGGTTTTGACACATCACTAATATAGTCCTAGATGACACAGAACTAAGGAAAGCCATTGTCTTGCATTAGTAACACAGATTTTATATTTGGTTACATCAAGTCATATTAAATGATTCTAATCTTTTTATCTTGGATTGTTTAACCCATTGGGGAAGGAATTAATCCGCTACCTGCAGCACCCTCTGGCGGCAATTAATTTTACTGAATTTGTAGACTTTTACTCTAACTGCTATAGAAAGAAAACCTTACGTAATAAATAATTAATTCTTTCACCATTTTGTTCACAGTAAAATTGTCTACAGAAAAGTGTTAATTGGATAGTCAAAGTTCTAAACTAAAAAAAAAATATATATATAAAGATTATAAAAATAAAAATTTTAAAAACAATATTTTGAAAGTAAACTTGATATACAAATTCCAAGATTAACAACCACCAGACACCAAAATCCAGACACCAAATAACACTACTATTATAAAGGTCGATCGATTCCCTACGTAGAAAAATCAAAAGTTGTGTACTTTTATAAGTAATAACATTTAAAAAAAAATTGTTTGTTTACCTTACCGCAGCTGATTTTTGGTGATATGTGGTTTCCATGGCAACACAAAATTGTTTGTTATTCGCTAAAATAAATGAGTAAATACGCAAATCAAGAAGCAAGATATTTATAAACATTATAATAGTAAGAAGAAACAAAAAGGGCGAAAAATAATAATAACTAAATAAAAAATGGCGCTGCCTAGCGGTGACACGAGCGGCTCTCGTAAGTCGGCCTCCGAGCCTGCAGCGACCGTACGAGTAACGCTTGTAAGTCGGCGCCAATGGGTTAACATTTACTGATGTTATTGATGTTACAAAAAACAAACTACATTTAATTAACCCATTGAACAAATAACTGACTTGAACTGATGAATATTAATGCCTCTTGCAATTAAATATAGTTTATCCTAAACCTACAAAACATAATTATAAGATTATGAGAAGCCTGTATAACCATATTTAACAAATGTGTTTAGCGATTCCTTGAGCTTCAAAAAGTCAACGGTATACTTGAAAAACTACATACTTGACTGTCATTAGAACATTGATAAATAAAGGCCTACTAGCAACATGATAGAATGAATAAGCTTTTATGGTATTACACTGAACATTAATAGTATATACAGTTTAATTTTTAATAGTTCATACGGGTTAGATATTATTGTGAGGAGGCAGTGTTTGGCAATTATGTCTGGAAGATTAGTTAAACAATAACTTGTGCTGACCTACAGAAGGCTGTTGTTTTAAGTCGGCCAGTGCACTTGTTCAGGGGGTCAGTTTTCTGTGGTTAGTTAGTGTGGTGTATTGGAGGACAGGCTCCTGCTGGGGGATTGGGGTTTCTGTTTGATACGTATTTTTCCAGTCTATTAGCGAATTTCCCATATAGGGAATAAGCTATTACCGTAGTACCGTAGTACCGTAGTACTCATGGTAAGACCTGGACCCGGGACCGATTTTTTTTTTTCGTTTTGAGGTCCCTAGAGACCAAAAACACCATACGTTCAAATTCATATACATATATATATATATATACTTTTGTGCCCACCCGGTTTGGCAGTCAGTGCGCTGGTAATTTACTCGGTGTGGCAGTCACCTGCCCGAAAGCCAGTCAGCTCTCCCATAAGCCAGTCAGGTATGGCTTCCCGTGCACTTTATACGTATGAAAACAGCAAACCGGTGCTGCTGCCTGTGTCGATAAGCGTAACTGCAATACCAATGCGGAGACTGTCTCATCGTGTGTTCTATCGTGGAGTAGTGTAGCCAGTACGGCACCCTACCCTACTTTGTAGCGGTAAAACCCAGCGGTCTGTAACCTTTGTTTACTCCTTGTTACTATTTGTGTTGGGATAGTGATTAACTACGTGTTAATGTTTAAACATGTTCATACTCTAAATAAATATGATACACCTCTAATAAGGATAGTCGAATATTAATTAATTATAATTGGTTGAATCTTGATCCTACCCGTTCATCATCTCATATTTTAAGTTATTTTGATTTTTTTACCTTCAGTTGAAGTTTTAGTCAACTTCTCCTTTATACAATATTTTTTATCCTAGTATTTACAGTGTTTCCACGGACCGGGAACTATACGGATTTTCTTTATCTCGAGAAATATACGTGAATCTTGTCCGAGATACTGGAACTGTTTTTTACGCAATTGCGTAACGCGAAGGAGTAACTATTACATATGACAACGATATTAATCTATCTGATAAGAATAACCATGAAACTACACTCGAAAGATAAAATATTTTTATAATAATTTCAATTTTACAAACAAACTATTACAGGTATTATATTTTGGGACGGATGAATGATAAGGAAGCAACAAAAAGTGGTCACGAGTGCAAATACGGGGGGGGGGAGGGGGGTACAATATAACGAACGCCAGAAACGATTATTTGTTTACTTTTCAGATTCCTTATCAAATCTCTCTCAGTCTCTCTCTCTCTCTCTCTCTCTCCCTCTCTCTCTCTCTCTCTCTCTCTCTCTCTCTCTCTCTCTCTCTCTCTCGCTCTCTAACAATGTACAGATTGTGGACTTTACGATTTAAGTTTTCCTGCAATTATTTCAGTTCAATCCCATACCTATCCTTATGGTTTCCTATCTATTATTTTTCAAAATAAATAGTAAAGCAGGTTAAGCTATTTTTTATTTTATTTTCTTGAAACCAAACACTCTTTACCATCCGGTATTCTGCAGAGTCAAATGTTTAACACTGTGTTTATAAAAATTGAATGGCCACACAATTTTGTGTTTTATTTTTTTTTTTTTTTACTAATAGTAACTGGGATATTTATATATACCAATAAGTGCTGCAAGCTGTAATAAATGCTGCTGAT